TACATTAAACTAATTAAGTTGGCAGCTGGTAATCACTAATTAGAGTGAAGAAATAAGGGAATCGCACAAAACACACGGCACCAGCGTAAAGAATGCTTAATATTATACATCTAACAAGTATTTTCAGTGATATTGTGACACAACCTATGACTACAGCTCTTAGAGAAGGTTGTGATTGTGAGGGTTATTTCAATGATGGTACTTGGAGTAACTAAAGATGGGACATAATTCAAATATACTTCCGCAACATATTGAGAGATAAACCTAATATGGGTTTGACTAGTGCTGAGGCATAGAGAATTAATAAGCTAAGTGATTGATCAGCTCCCAACTTAGCTTGCAACTTCACTCCAAGGTCAGCAGCTCAGTGGCCATGAACTAAATGGACTGTTAAAAAGCTAGACACTGTTGTTCCCTTCTTCAAACTGACATTCATCCTTATTTTCATTCTTTGAAGCAAGTTCATCACAGGTACAATAATTTCTTAATTCACCACACTTTCAAATTCCAACTTTGTTATATGTTGCATAACATGGTAAGCAAAAACGAAAAAAACCTTGAAAACAATCATATTGTTTTGAACAAATGCCTACAAAATAGTTAATTCTAATAGCAAAAACTGTTCCGAAATACAGCTTCCAAACTCTCGAATATCATTACCCACATGAAACCCCTCTATCATCACTGCAGTTGATCAAAACTAACAAATGTCTCCCGAAAAGCATCAGTTGTATAATATAAGGCACAAGACTAAAGACAACGATCATATACAGTACGACTCAGTGAATCACACCCCCAAAACATCCTCCATACGAAAATCTATAAAAAATGAAATAACCTGCTTTTTCTGGCGAGCCAAATTCCAAATCCGCCAGCACATATTCTCCAGCCTCGTATTTCTTTCCTTGGGACTCCGCGTTGCTTGCGCCTAAATTTCACACAAATACACACATAACTCACATACATCAAAAAGGACGATAACACAAAAAAGAGAGAGATAGAGAAACAAAGTGAAGACATACTCGAACCCATGAGCGATGAAGATCGGTCTCATCGAATCCCGTGATCACTTCCTCCACAAAGTACCTCGTGGGGCTGAATCTCCCCCTCTCTCGAAGCAGTAGAGATGACTTCACCTCGTCGATGCCTGGGCCCACGTCCAGAATCGCCTCCAGGTAGCTGTTTATCCAATCATTTCCAGCCATTGATCGATCCTATAGATTTCCGTACCCGTCGATATGTATAAGCTTGTGAGTGACTGCTGAAAATTGGGTAAAATCACATTATGTTTATGTGAGAGAGAGGGAGGATGTTTCTGGAGGTGGTGATTACTGATGATGGAATATGGGAGAAAAGGTTTCTTTTTTATAGAGATTCGATTCTATTTCTAGGAGTAGTACTAGGCACACTGATCCAATAAACATTGGAGACAACAATTGACTTCAGCCTACCCTTTCCACTGCTCAAACCAAAGAGGGCCGAAAAGAAGGTTATTCTACGGTCATGTCACCTCACAGTGTACCCATAACGCAACTAGTCTTTTTTTTTTATTATTTATAAAGATATTTATATTAATAATTTAAAAACTCAAAATATCTTCTTTACCGAAAACTTTTCTCGCCAGAGCCAAAGTCCCCGGCACTAGATCTAGCTGCCTTCCCCGACGGGACTTTTCGAACGCCCGGTGGTGACGCCCTTGGGCTCGCATCCCATTCTTCTGAAAAATCGCCGCTTAGAGGAGGTGGGCTTCTTCGCCCGGGAGGAGGTGCGGTCCGTCCCTGTCTTCGAGAACTTCGAATATAACTTCTCCTTGCGAAGTGTCTCCAACACAATCCTCAAATGCTCTTTGTGCTGCTCAACGTCCCTCGAAAACACCAAAATGTCATCGATGAACACGATAACAAATTGACCTAGGTATGGATGGAAGACTCGATTCATGAGATCCATAAATACCGTTGGTGCATTGCTCAACCCAAACGACATCACTACAAACTCGTAGTGACCATACCTAGTCCAGAACGCCGTCTTCGATACATCAGACTCCTTAATCTTCAGTTGATGATAGCCAGACCTCAAATCGATCTTCAAAAAGACGTTGGCTCCCCTCAGCTGGTAGAATAGGTCCTCGATTCTCGACAAAGGATACTTGTTCTTCACCGTCAGATTGTTCAGTTCCCGATAGTGCACATTCGCATCGACCTGTCCTTCTTCTTGACGAATATCAGAGGCGCTCCCCAGGGTGAAACACTCGGTCGGATGAACCCGAGGTTCAACAGCTCCTGGATCTGCCATCCTATATGGTGCCTTCAAGATTGGACCTGCTCCCGGTATCAAGTCAATAGTGAACTCGACATGTCTGTCAGACGGCCCCTCCGCCAACTGCTCTGTAAACACATTCACGTACTCACATACAATAGACACATCCTCCCATGATGGCTTCTTAGCCTTCTATCCTACAATATTCACCAGGTAGCCTTGGTAACTATCCTTCGCAAAACTCCTCATAACCTTCAGTGATGAGATGACTCGGGGAACCGTCCTCGACTTCGCTCCATAAAATGTGGTCTGCTCTCCATCGGTCGGGTGAAGAGTGACTTTGTGCTCTATGCATCGGATGTCGGCTCGATATTTGGTCAGTCAGTTCATGCCAACAACGATGTCGAAGTCCCTCATGTCGATGACATAAGCGTCTGCCTCCAAGTTCCTCTCATCGATGCTAACATTAAAACCCTGCACCATAGTATTAGTAACAAGTACCTTCCCAGAGGCTAAGCTAACCTCTACTCCTCTAGGGCATCCACTGTACTGACACTCTGGATTCCAACTGCCTCCAAACACCTCAACGAAACAAAGGAGTGCGTAGCTCCTGTTGTTGCACAAAGCAAATATAGGCACGTTCGATACATATAGCATTCCCGACATGGTACATGTGTCCTGCGCGGCCTCCGTTTGAGTCAGAGCATAAACGCGCGCTCTCCCTTTAGTCCCCTGCTGGTTCTGCTGCTGCCCTGGTTCTGCCTCTTCGATTTTGGGTACATGTTTGCGAAATGTCCCGACCTCTGGCAATTAAAGCAAGTCTTCTGAGCTGCACGACACTCTCCAGCTGCATGGTATGCACAGCAAGCACCATAACGCGGTTGTCCGTCTGATATCTAACGGATGGGTTAGGCTCCCTGAGTTGGGGTCGATCATCACGCCTGTCGGTATCCCTGCGCTTGTTCCTCTTACGATCCTGATAGATCAGACCTCCTCTTGCCCCAGCTAGAAGTGGGTTGGACAGAATTGACAGGCTGAGCAGTGATAACGTGCTGAAAAGATGGAATGGTTGCATCCAGGGCCTGGCAACTCTCAATCTGTTGACCTCGGATGACCGTCTCAGCATACGGTAAAGCTCCGTGGCTCACCACTAGGATGTGAATGTCAGAACGAAGCCCGTTTCGGAATCTGTTGTCCTTCTTCTCCTCTGTGTCGACCAGATGTCTAGCAAAGGAGCTCATACAAATAAAGGTCCTCGCATACTCATTCACCGTCATACCTGTTAGTGTTATATACTGAAAGCTTGGCTTTGGATGATATTACACTTTTACCCTTTATGAATGAGAATCATGTTTGATTAAACAAGTTCTATGCTCTGTTGTTTTGCACTTAGATAGAATGGGTCATAATCGGGTGAACAGAATATCATTCTATCAGTTACTTGTGAAACAAGAATTATGGTTCACAACCTACATGAAAATGAACACTCCATCCGAACGGTTGTAGTGTCAACAGTACAGTTGGTCTTGACTGATTAGTTGCACTAGTACATTTATGTATTGAACAGGATCCCAGAGAGGAGAAGTTCGTTTTATACTGATCGTCGTAAACAAACTTGGCCTCGGTTAATTACTGCGTTCTCTTAACCCGTAAGATATTAAATAGACATATATATGCAGTACATATTACTTTGATTCACTTGGGTGAGGTTCAGTTCGTTGGATTAATATTCCTACTATCTCGGGTAATATTGTTGTATGTATGATGTGTTGTTAGGATATTTACGGTCACCATGTATGTTTAGTTTGATGATGTCCCCGAAGTGAGTTCATGAAGGATTTTTATGCTAAACCCTGCAGGTGGATTAAGTTCCAGCATAATAATAATGTGATGAACGAACCCTAGCTTCGGTAATATAAATAATAAATTAATTAATTCTTGATTGTCAGTAATCGAATTAATTAAATATTATATCTTAAACATGGGGAGGTAAATCGGGTAATTATAATTGGAGTCTCAAATGTAATTTGGGCTAGGAAAAGTGAGTGCAATAATATTACGTTAGTGAACTGTAATATTATTTAAGTAATTGGAGGAGTGGACTTGGCCCGCAGTTAGTCCATTGCTTAAGAAGCCCTATTCCTATTCTCCTAATGATCCCTACTATTGCTCTATATATACATAATTGAGCTCATGAGAAGAAAAAAGAATAGACATCACAATTCACGTGAAATCGACCGCCCCCTCTCTGTCTATCTCTAGATCTCATTCGGGTTTTATCTTCTTTTCGTTGCTCCACCGGCACGAGTTGAAGAGGTGTGTGAGTAATACAGTAGAAGATCTCGTGGTAATCGAGACCCTATGATCAATATATATTCGTCAACCCCGGAAGCCCACGACAGCCGTGAGCATTGGACCGCCGCCGTGAGCCCACGACAGTCGACGGACCGCCGCCGTGAGAAGACGGAGCCGACGCGACCCGGACAGCCCGCGATGACCGGTCGATCACCACCCCGCACGACCCGATCGGAGGACACGACCCCCTTCCATTCGATCCGTTCGTGTGCTATTCCATGTCATCCCGAATTGGACAAATTCAAAATATTTTATGCCGTAAGTTTTCTACGTGAAACCTTTAGATCCGATGCGCATATGTTTACGCTTGCTATTAAATTCGTAAGTTGTACATAACGAGATCTTCATATATCCCATCAATACCTCCCTGTCGCAAGTCCCAGAACTTTCTCTCCATATGGTCGCGGTAGCTCTGGGGGTAACACTTCTCAATAACGATCTCCTTCATCCGTTCCCAGGTCAAAGCCGTACGCTCACCTGCTCGCCTCAAATGCAGTAATCGGACCATCAATCGGCGGCATCGCCGTCAAGTTGGAACTCAGCGCAGACGATGCTCTGTGCATCGGAACACAGAAGCACATTGTAGATCTGCTCGAGCTTGCGGATCCACTCGGCCACAGTAGTCGGGCCTTCAACCTCTGTGAAGATCGGCGGCTACATGTTACGGAACTGGATGACTAGCTGACCATGATCTGACCTGGCACGGGTAGAGCCCGCTGAGCATTATGGTCCGCACCTCATCCTCTATTCCGGTCACTCATATCTAAAACATGTTGTAAAAAAATATTAATTATAAACGGCGGATTAAAAACGAGTTTCAACACATATACGTATTAAGAATTTGTAAATAGAAACCACAAACATCAACCACGGGAACGTGAGATGAAACCAGATTTCTATTAGTAAATAAAATAAATTTATTGTAAAATTAAAACTTAACTGACAGTTCTATATTGTCATAGAACACGAATAGTCGAATCACAGAAAATCTGTTTGCCTTGAAGAAACAGACGCCCCGATACTGTGCAACGAGTACTATGCCTTTTCTCCCAGGATAAGACGGCTCAAAGTGTGAAGACTGCACTATCTAACATACTCACCTCGATCAAAATCTCAATCGGCAAGAACCCTTAATTTTTCTAAGTCTTTGGAGGATAAAAGAGAATATATGTATATGTTCCTTTTCCTTTCCTTCACTTGGTGTGTTCCATATGTCTCCCATGCACCATATATATAGTGCTTCAAAGTCATCTTCATTGAATGCATGGGAGATGCCTTAATGCTTTCATTAAGACGAGAGAAATGTAACTTTGAGTTTCATCTCACTTCTCAAAACCGAACAAGCATACTGCTCGGTTATGCATTTCAATGAATTGATACATTTACGTTAAAAACATCCATTTACATTAAACACATCCTTTTATCTAAGGATTCCCACAATATACATTTTCTCATTTTGCATGTAACTTTTATTACAATGAAACAGAAATAATTTGAAGGTTAAAACAAAATATTAAGTCTGTCAACTAGAGTTAAAACTTGAAATAGAGGATAAATTCCTAAGCCCCAAAAACTAAAGTCATAACAAGAAATTTAGACTAACACATAAACATACCTTTAAGCTGGCACGGCACGACGAAGACGAGTAGTCATTTTTAAACAATTAGAAAAAATTTCAAAAGAATTTCGCAAGTCAACAGAAGTATAGCATACCACACTATAACGCCCCGTAAAAGGAAATTTCCCGAGTTTTCAAAAATAGGAATAAATTTTTTGAAATTCATTATCCGATTTAAAACCATTTTCCTGGCATTACTCAAAACCAAACTCATTTTTCACTTAGCTTAAGACACAACTTAAGCCCTTGGGAAATACCAGCCCAAAATTCGCACAT